TCGCAGATTTGGGATAAGACGGCACCGAGTGCAAAGTCCAAGCAGTCACATCAAGGACAAAAGGCCTGTACGAGATTGGCTATCTTCAGTACTGGCGCCGTAGTGAACGCGGTTTTCAGAGTTTCAAATGCCTTGTTGCACCGGGCGTCCCAGACGTAGGGAGTTTTGTCCTTGGTCAAGTCGTGGAGAGGTCGGGCTATTCCAGAAAAGTGGTCAATGAATCGCCGGTAGAAGTTTGAGAAGCCAATAAAACGCTGTAGTTCGGTCACATTCTTGGGCGGTGGCCATTCGGATACAGCTTTGACTTTAGTTGGGTCCATCCTCAGCCGGTTACATGATATCAAAAGTCCCAAGTATTCCACTTCTGGTCGAGAGAATTCACATTTTTCCGGTTTCAGCCAAAGTTGATGCTTGCTAAGTGTCTCCAATACTCCCATGACAGCCGCTTGGTGATCGGTTCCCTTCTGCGTGTAGATCATGATGTCATCCAGGTAAGCTGCCGTGTCCTTCCCAATCCGTCCCAAGAGGATGTCTTGCATGAAATATTGAAAGTAGCCTGGTGCTCCTGTTGGTCCAAATGGCATAGTCAGTGGTGCGAATTGTCCTTGTCGACAGACAAAAGCCAGCTTCTCCTTGTTGCCCTCCGCTACACGTAGGTTTCCGTAGGCGTTTCTCAGGTCGAGCTTGGTGAAGGTGTCGGCGTCAAGTAGGCTGTCAACTAGGTCCATCGTCAGGGGCAGGGGGTACTTGTTCTTCACGGTAACCGCATTGAGCTTCCGGTAGTCAAAACATGGGCGTAAGTTGCCGTCTTTCTTTCCGGTGAACAGCACTGGTGCTGCCCAGGGCGAAGTGGTTCGTCTGATGGTGCCGTTTTCTAGACCTTCAGTGATCAGGGTGTCTAGTGCTTGGTTTTTGGCGGGTGACAGGGGAATGATCCTACTTGCTTGGGGAAGGGCTCCCGGCACAAGGTCTACTCGAAAGTCGTAGATTCTTCTGGGTGGCAGTTTCTGGGCACTGGACTTGCGGAACATGTTGATATACCGGTGATAGTGGGTTGGGACTAGTTCTTCTGCCGTCTTCACAGGGGTCTTGGCCTTGTTGTCTGCCGCGAGTTGAGCCGATGTTGACCAAGAGGCTTTGGGCGGCGCTGACATCTGCGGTTGGAACAAGTTCTAGGGAGAGGAAGAGGCTTGCCAGCTGATTTCAACAGAATTTATGGAAGGGACCGCAGCGAAATCACATTTGCGGGGGGTGTTAACGTGTCAGAGACACACACCCCCTTGCCAAAAATCCTAGCTTGCCTCATGGGGCTCCACACCAATAGTTGAGGCCTTTGTCGGAATTGGGCAAAACTGGCTCGGCAGTTGCAATGGTCCTGTCTTCGGTGGGTTGGGATCCCGG